TGGAGGAAGATCCACTTCCTGACGTTATGGTGCCAGGGGATGTGAGCAAGACCCCTTTCTCAAGTGGTAGGAAACTGTGTAAAAGATGAACAGGAAACTCCCTCGGAGAGAGGCAGCAAAGACGCAGTCTTAACAAAAGTGGAGGCTACCAATTTAATTTTTTCAAGGGTGTTTTTTTTTTTTTTTTTCCTTACCCTGTGACCTATATACCAAAAGCCTTCCCGACACATCCCACATTTGGCTAAAGTTAGCTCTAATTAGGTGTTGGATCATTTGCAGGTAAGAGTGTTGTGTAATTCAGGTCCCTGGTCTCCTGCCTCTCTCTTCTGTCCTGGGGCACTTGCTCAGCCCAGGTCTACACTTATACCATCACACTTCAGACTTAAAAAATTAATAATTTCATAAAATTTGCCGAAACCGGTTTGGCTCAATGGATAGAGCGTCGGCTTGGGGACTGAAAGGTCCCGGGTTCGATTCCGGTCAAGGGCATGTACCTTGGTTGCGGGCACATCCCCAGTAGGGGGTGTGCAAGAGGCAGCTGATCGATGACTCTCTCTCATCGATGTTTCTAACTCTCTCTCTCCCTTCCTCTCTGTAAAAAATCAATAAAACATATTAAAAAATAATAATAATTTCATAAAATTATTCACGGATCCTTTCTCTGTTCTCCACATAGGCCCCCATGGAGCGTTGTACTGAATCCAGCCCATCCTACCAGCAGTTCATTTTTTAATGCCAGCTCCTCCCTATCCCTACGACCCCCATCCCCTGCTTACTTAGCAGAATGTTCACTTCACCTCCCAGGGCTTCCAGGATTCCACTGCCATGTGCATATACCATATACACCAGCAGAGAGCAGAAAGACCCAAATCCAGCTCCACCTGACCTACGGCTCCCAGGATGGGAGTTTCTGAAGCAGAATGTCTTGAAGACTCCAGTCCTGGAATAGAGCATGCTGTCCAAATCCTTTCATGTATAATAAAAGCCTAATATGCTAAGTGTCCCGCCGGCTATTCAACCAATCAAAGCGTAATATGCTAATGATATGCTAAAGCAGTTCAACCGCTCACTATGACGTGCCCTGACCACCAGGGAGCAGGCAGTCAACTGGAAGGTTAGCTTGCTGCTGGGGTCCTGCCCATCCAGACACGCAAGAGGATCAGACACGCCCTAGAGTCCTCCGGCAGTCCCTCCCTGGCTGGCCAACCTCTCGTGTCCCTCCCCAGCCCTGACCGTGCACTGGTGGGGTCCTTCGGCCTGGCCTGTGCCCTCTTACATTCTGGAACCCCTCGGGGGATGTCGGAGAACCTGTTTCAGCCCAATCCCACAGGCCAGGCTGAGGGACCCCGCTGGTGCATGAATTCGTGCATCGGGCCTCTAGTTTTTAAATAAAACTAGTATAATCCAAACACCTGGTTTTACAGTGTTCAAATGTCAGGTGTGCAGACATGACAGCAAATTCAAGACCCCTGACAGAGCCAAATCACAATAGAGTCACAGAATAGAAAACTTAGGGATTTTAAAAAGCAATTTTTTTTCAATTACTACAGAAAGGGAGTCAATTAGAACATTATTCATGGAAGGTAATCTCACAAGTGCACGAAAAGCATTAAAGATAAATCAACAAACAGTAAGTGCTGGTGAGGATGTGGGGAAAAGGGAACCCTGCACTGGTGCAGCCACTGTGGAAAACAGCACAGAGTAGTGGGGTTATGTATAATTTTTTTTCCTTCTAACTCGTTTTCTTCAAAATTTTTTTTACAAGGAACATATTGTAATAAGAAAACACACACACACACACACACACACACACACGATTTAACATCCCCTAAATGAATTTGAAATTTTTTTCCTAATTTTTGTAAAGAAAGATTTTATACTGCAAGATTTTAACTTGGACATGAGTTCACTAATGATATAAAATTAGGCTGTACTTCTATTGTAATACAGTAAACCACAGAATAGACGGGAACACTGGGAGTCCATTTAGCTCAAGCCCCTCGTTTCAGAGCAGAAACAGCTTTCCTAGTATTGATCCCAGAAGCGTTAGGCCTGGTTGGACCCTCTGCACGGTGCCCTCTCCCCCAGCCAGTGTGCTCATTTCCTCTTCAGCCACAAAGACCTAAAACACCTGCATTCACACGCTGAATGCACACACTCCAGTGGGAGTCATCCTACCTGGGGTTGGGGCATCAAGCCTGAAGCTCTCAGTGGCAGAGCCCTGACATGCCAGCAGGTGGGGATGGCACCACACAGTCCAGGGCGTTTAGAAATCTCTCATCACATTCCCTGCTCCTCAGGGAGTGAGAAAAGGGCAGAAGGACTAGAGAATGGTCCTCACGGGCTGCCCCCGCCCCCCCCCCCCCCCACGGCAGGAGCTCTGCTGGGGGAACCTGGGAAAGCGACCGCTGCTCTGGGCCAGGCCGCCTCGGAGCGAACATCCCCGGTGGGGATGGGGAGAGAGCTGGCTGCATGTGGGGGCAAAGTGTGTGTGTGAAGGGCTCAGATCATCAGCTACTTGACCACAGCTTTCCCTCCAATTCCTTGAGGTCCCTTGAAACTACAAGTTTCCAGCTTATGTGAAGTAACCCAGTGAGAATTAAGCCATTGTTGACTGTCATTCTTGCTGGAATAGAATTCGTACAATTTTCTCAAAGGAGAAAAACAGAGCATGTATATAGAACCAAGCAGATTCTCTGAATTCCTTAACTCAGTCTAAGTTAGAGTGGAATGAGGTTTAGCCCATGACTTATTCCAATGAACAGAAAATATAACATATCTATATTTCTTTGGAAGTTAGAAAAGATAAAATCCTCTGGTCCCCAGTGACATTCTTTCAACTGCCCTCCAGTATAATTTAATATAAACAAATTATACAATTACCACAAGTCAGTCTCCTTAATAAACGTCTCCCTCAAACATTTACTAGTAGCTGCTCTATGTCCACATACTCCTGCATCTTCCTGGGAATTATTTCCAAGGCCAAGTTAAAAAATAAAGCACTTATAACTAAACATCAGCAATCACTCATCCTTAAAAATCCCTGTTGTTGCCACATCCCCCCCCCAAGATCACCTTAAAAAATTAAAAATTTATACGTTCACATAAGTAAAAAAAACATTCCATCAGTGTTCTTAGAACATGCTGCACCTCCCACACACAAATATTATGAAGCACCAAGCCTCCCTGGGAGGTGTCCTCCTCAGGAGAGGCAGAACTGCTCTGTGGAGTCATCCTAAATTCAGTATCATAAGAACCCATTTGCGTTGACTTGCACTCATATTTAAAAGCAACTAAAATATGCAAGAGCTGTGCCATCCAATACAGTAGCCACTGGTTACATCTGACTACTGAGCACTCCAAATGCATGTAGTTCAAACCGAGCTGTGCTGTAAATGCACAATATACACTGGATTTAGAAGTCTTTATATTAACAAAAGAAACAGTATTTCATTAATGGCTTTATATTGATTATATGCTATCAAATTTTTTGTATAGCCCTAACCGGTTTGGCTCAGTGGGTAGAGTGTTGGCCTGCAGAATGAAGGGTCCCAGGTTTGATTCCGGTCAAGGGCATGTACCTTGGCTGCGTGCACATCTCCAGTTGGGGGGTGTGCAGGAGGCAGCTGATCAATGTTTCAATCTCATCAATGTTTCTAACTCTCTATCCCTCTCCCTTCCTCTCTGTAAAAAAAAAAAATCAATAAAATATTTTTAAAAAAATTTTGTATATGTTGAATCAAAAAAATTATTAATTTCACCCTTTGAACTTTTTAATTAAAAATGATTTTTAATTTTTTATTGATTTTAAGAGAAAGGAAGGGAGAAGGGGAGATAGGAACATCCTATCTAATAAGTGGGGATATGTAAATTGACCATCACACCATCACAAAGGGGGCAGTACCCACAGCAGAGGCAGGGTTTCCATAACACAAGATGGCTGCATCCACAGTAATGAGTCTTCAGGAGCAATCAGCAGGGACCCGAGGCTGTGTGGCACTGGGCTGGGGCATGGCACGTGAGCCCGCACCCTCCCCCACCCCGGTGTCAGGCCAGGGGAACTTAGGCTGCATCCCCTACCCAGAGGGGTTTAATGGGGGATCTCAGGCCACACACCCCCAACCCCGACACTGGGCCAAGGGACCTCAGGCCATGCCCCCCACCCAGAGGGGCTTGACAGGGGCCCTGAAGCTGTGCCCCCCAACTGATGGAGCTTGACTGGGGACCTGAGGCTGTGGCCCCCGCCCGGTGGGGATTGACGAGGGTGGGGCCAGCTGAGTCTAGATCTCACCCAGTGGGGGTGGGGCTGGCTGGGGCTGGGTCTCATGAGATTTTGAGGTGCTGTGGGTGTACAGAGACTTAACTCAGGGTCCGGAGGCATACCCCAAACTCTGACAGCAGGTAGATTTTCATATACATTTTACTAATTTTCTTTCATCTCTGACACTTCTATTTTATAGAGAAAGGGCAAATAGTAGTATTAAAACATTTCCTCTAATCAATCCCTTTTATATGCATGAATTTTGTGCACCAGATCACTAGTCAATGATGAGAATCATTGATTCCTTCCTCCTGCATGCCCCCTCTTGGGGATTGAACCCCCAACCTAGACACATGCCCTGACCTGGACTTGAGTAATGACCTCTTGGTTCATGGGTTGAAGCATAACCATTGAACCACACCAGCTGGGCACCTTTTTAAAAATGGGGCTACCAGAAAAATCTATAGTCGCTTGTGATATGCATTGTAATTCTCTATGTAAATAGTCCTGTCACTTCTGACCCGTCCTTTCTTACCCCATCTTCTTGAGCGTCATAAAATTCTCTATTGTAATCAAAGGCAGTCTTTGCTCAGAGGGGGACCCACAAAAGGAAACTAAAGGAGGGGCAAGTGCTGGTGGAGAGTCAAGGCCATTCTCCTCACAGGCTTCGCAAGGGGGTTGCCTAGAAACAGCGCCGCACACAGGCCCAGGGCATCCTGGGTTTTCAAACCCAACTCACATGGCAAATGATCATGAACTTCTTGGTTGGTGGGTGTAGTGCAGACGCCACTGAAATTCAGAGAGTTATCCAATATGGCGTTTATCTTCTGAAAGATACTGGCATTGCTGCATGTGGAGAGGGCCTGGGCTTCCTGGCGGTCGCAGCAGTCTTTTATACTTCCTCCTCCCTCCTCCTAGGCACAGAACAAAGACGTTCGGGTTTACGCTCCTTTAGGACAAATAGAGATTTCACCCCCTTTTCCTCAACCCCACAGCAGGAGCTGAAGTAATAAGGATTTGGCCCTGGGTGGTGTTCCCAATGGTTAGAGCGTCGCAGATTTGCTTCCCGGTCAAGGACACAATTGCTCGCCAGGAGTGTGCAGGAGGCAATTAGGCCATGTGAGATCTCACATCGAAGCCTGTCTTTCTGTCTCTCTCTCTCCCCACCTCCCTTCCACTCTCTCTGAAAAGCAATGGGTGGGGGTGGGGGGGAGTCTCTGGAGATGATTAATGAAAAAATAATAAGGCCTAAACGGGCAGTCGGACATCCCCCTCACAATCCAGGACTGCTGGCTCCCAACTGCTTGCCTGCCTGCCTTCCTGATTGCCCCTAACTGCTTCTGCCTGCCAGCCTGATAACCCTCCAACCACTTTCCTGCCAGCCTGATTGATGCCCAACTGCTCCCCGGCCAGCCTGATTGCCCCTAACTGCCCTCCCCTGCAGGCCTGGTCACTCCTAACTGCCCTCCCCTGCCAGCCTGGTCACCCCCAACCTCCCTCTCTTGCAGGCCTGGTCCCTTCCAACTGCCCTCCCTGCTGGCCATCTTGTGTCTATATGGGGGCAGCCATCTTGTGTGTTGGAGTGATGGTCAATTTGCGTATTGCTCTTTGATTAGATACGATACTTTAATGAGTGTTTACTGTGAGCAAGGTGCCCTGAGAAACTGCCTCAAGAGCCTTCTACAGTAATGGGATTTACCTTGGCAAGGTAGCAGTGAGGGGAGTTTAAGAACCAGACAGATCTGGTTCAGAGCCTGGGGTATGTCTATGCAGTAGTATATTATTTCCCAATAAAAGGGAATGAAGTGTTGATACAAGTTATTGTATTGATAAACCTTGGAAACATTAGGCTAAGTGAAAGAAGCTAGTCATAAAGGACCATATATTCTATACGCCCATTTATACAAAACGTCCAGAATAAAAATAGCAAGTCTAAAGCAGATTGGTTGCTTTCAACGAGAGGGGGGGAATATTAGGAGGTGGTGGCTAATGGAGATGAGGTTTCTTTCTGAGATGATGAAAACACCTCATTGGATTACGACTACGAAACTCTGTAAACGTACTAAATATCATTTAATTGCACACTGAAATGTGAGCTTCATGGTTGTGTAACTTCTATCTCAATACATTTGTTTAAAAAGCATGGTTCTGGTCATTTACTGGCAGTTAACTCCCGTGCCTCGGTTTCCCCATTTGTGAAATGGAAAGAGTACTACCAACCTTCAACCACAGAGGTTTCCAAACTGTAAAAGGCCCCCCTCCTAATATATATATATATACACCTAATTTTTATTTGCTACAACAGATCCTGGCCACACTTACAGAAAGGTCAGTGACAACTGTATGTAAGTGTTACAAGGGGACAATGAGCAGCCCCATGAGAGATGGAGGCAGGAGAGCCAGGCAGGGAAGTGCCCTGATTGCCTGGGGAAAGGTGCAGACCTGGAGGCCTCTGGGAAAATCTTCCCCAGGAAGAAGGGAAGGTCTGAGACTCTATCTGAAGCAGCCTTTACAAACCTAATTAGGAGTATGCCTGTCCAACAGTGCCCCTATTCCCAATCCTGTTAGGTACATACACCCCAACCTCCAAACCCAAAGCCAATGACATCTGAATAACTCCCTCCCTCCCTTCCTCTCATGTTCACAAATGAGAGAGGCAGAGGACACTGGAATTAGAATAAAGGTAAATGAAGTATTCCATTTATACCCAAATTAGAGACCCGGTGCATGAAATGCATGCACGGGTAGGGTCCTTAGGCCTGGCCAGCGATCAGGGCTGATTGGGGCCTTCCTTCTCTGGCAGCCGGCTGTCAGCCAGGGCCTGCCTTCATTCAGCGCCATCCCCTGGTGGTCAGCGCATGTCACATCAAGCGATCAAACTCCCTGTCTCCCGGTCCAACTCCCAAGGGGACACTTTGCATATTACTCTTTTATATGGATAGATGGCATAATCACATCAGTAACTACCCAACTGTTTGCCTTGAGTAACCAATTTGGGAGGGGAAAGTGAGGGGGGAGGGGAGACCAAAGCCAGCAATGTCAGATGGGAACAGACCTCCAACCTCCCTTATGTGTACCACAGGAATAGAAGTAGTAACACCATCTCACAGGGATTTTGTGAATCCAGAACAGAACATGCTAGGCACAGTACCTGTTACATGATTATGTGCTGAACAAATGGAAGTTGGCTATCAGGAGTGTCATTATTATGACACCAAGGGGTCAGAGGCCACCAGGAGGATCCCTGAAGAAAAAGAATCTATTGGCTCACGAAGGAGAAAAAGGCACCGAAGACCCTGGCCAACTATTCCTCTGTAGACCCCAAGTCCTTCCATGTCTAATCCTGCTGGTCCATTGATTTTAAAAGTTTAACTCAAAGACTAGAAACACAGTAGAAATCAGACTGCCTAAAACCTGAACCTACCACAGATTTCAGGGATCTTTTTTAAACTCTCCAGTGAAATGAATTCAGTTTTCATTTTCAAAATACACTCCATCTATCCACCCCTCTACTTACAGACCCATTACTTTGTACAGTCTGTCTGACTTGGATCACTTTATAGGTCTGAGTTCATACCCATATATTCCCCCAAGGTTATCCTATACTGCCTTATAGCTTTCTCTGGGATTTTTGGCATATCCTATCTTACGTAATAAAAGCCTAATGTGCAAATTGCCCCTCGGGCAGCCTTTCCACCAAGAGTTTAACCGCTCACTATGACGTGCGCTGACCACCAGGGGGTGGCACAGGCGGGATGGTGGAGCAGGTGAGGGTAGGTTGTCCAGCGGGGCTGCAAGGTTGGGGGCTCGAGAAGGGGCCTGAGCTCCACAGGCCACCCCGAGGGACCCCACCTGGCCACCACGGGGCCTCTAGTATTGCCATAAGGTGAAACCATTTGCAGCATGTGTTTTTTTGTTTTGTTTTGTTTTTTAACTTTTTAAAACTTTTATTTGGTCTTTCACTACGGACAGGAAAGTAGGAGGCTTTAAGACAAAGACAAGAGAAGGCAAACCTTAGTGCTATCGTGAATCACGGATTATCAGGAAGAAATAATCCATCAGCAATGCTAAAGTAAAACCACCATTCTTAAACAGTTACTGGCTAAAAAACAACCTCAGGGTAAAACTAGGTGTACATGTCAGAAAGAGAATGGTTCAGGAGGAGTCTCTGCTAAGGCAAGCTATTATTTTAAAAAAAATATATTTTATTGATTTTTTTACAGAGAGGAAGAGAGAGGGATAGAGAGTTAGAAACATTGATGAGAGAGAATCATTGACCAGCTGCCTCTTGCACACCCCCCACTGGGGATGTGCCCGCAGCTAAGGTACATGCCCTTGACCGGAATCGAACCTGGGACTTTTCAGTCTGCAGGTCGACGCTCTATCCACTGAGCCAAACCGGTTTCAGCAATACAAGCTATTATTTAGCAAGCATCAATTTTCTTCTTTTCCAGCAGATTCTAACCCTCCCCTCATGAAACAGTGGTTTCTTCTGGTAATCATCCTTGAAGGGGAAGGGAAGAGAGGGGAGACTGCCGTCTGAAAAAAGCACCCCCTTTTTCCACAGGGGAAGAATTCTCCCCAAAACTGTGATTCACTGTTTTTGCAAAACAGAAAAAAACACACACAAAAAAACAGGCGTTGAAGTACGTACACTATGTTCACCACTTAGGTATCTTCTCTGAGCCTTGGATGCCTTAGGTATAGACTGGAGTGCCACCTAGAGAAACATACACAGCACCTGCATATGCTAAGGAGATAACATATTAGTGACAGATGTTCCCCGATTCCACACAGCTAAGTCGCAGTTACTCAGAAGCAAGCTATCAAGGTATTCATGGTTGTCAAGTTCAGCAAGAAGCTTATGTACGTACATGTTCAGAACATAACAGACAGCTTGGGTTTTTTTGTTTATGTGTTTGTGAAACACTCAGAAGGCTTAGCAGTAAGAGCTTTTCTTAAACCCAGGCAAGAAAAGCAGGTGGAGCCCTCGTTCCGGTTTGGCTAATGGACAGAGAGCATTGGCCTGTGGACTGAAGGGTCCCAGTTTCGAATCCAGTCAAGGGCACATGCTCCAACTGCGGGCTAGATCTTCATAGGGGGCGTGCAGGAGGCAGCCAATCCATGATTCTCATCATTGATGTTTCTCTCTCTGAAATCAATTAAAAATATATTAAAAAAAAAAAAAAAAAAGAAAAGTTGCTGAAACCAGTTTGCCTCAGTGGATAGAGCATTGGCCTGTGGACTGAAAAGGTCCCAGGTTCGATTCCAGTCAAGGGCATATGCCTTGGTTGCGGGCACATCCTCAGTAGGGGGTTTGCAGGAGGCGGCTGATTGATGTTTCTCTCTCTTTGATGTTTCTATCTCTCTCCCTTCCTCTCTGTAAAAAAAAATCTATAAAAATGTATTTTAAAAAACAAGAAAAGCAGTAGGATGGTGGAGCTGAGATAACCTCCTGAGCGACTAAATCCAGCCTCTTCCACATCTAGAGCCCAAGGGAAGTTTGTGTTTCATCTTAAAATTCCTGAGTTTAATCAGGCAACACCCCAGAGTCATTCCGGTGAGGTGGGGGGTGGGCAGAAGGAGGGAGGTAGGAAAAGGCCCTCTCCTCCACTGCTTACCACTCAGCTTGGGGGATGCAACCCCCCATTCAGACCCAAGGACCCAGTCAGAGGGACGGTCTGGGAGCCGGAGCACCAGCAGCCTGGAGAGCCCCACCCAGAGCGGTGGGTGTGACCAGACAAGCTCAAGGGGGGCCTCTGGTGTGAACCCCCCCCCCCCCGCCCCTCAGACACAGGTCTTTCCCCAGAGGTCACTAGAGCATCGCTGGGGAAAAAACAGGAGACTAATTGGGTGGAGGGGATGACAGAATCAGATCAGCCCCAGGAGACGAAGCCGTTGGTTCTGCTGTCAG